TGTGGAGCATGTGAAAAAAAAATAAAAACGGAGGCATTGATGTGTGGACTGGAGACGCAACAAACAACCGTGTATAAAAAAATAACTTTTAAAATACCATTTACAAAAAAAAAAAGATCAATATTATTCATCATCATTAATATTATTACAATCTTATTCAAAGCTCGTTGTAGTCATCAGAGGGATGGGGGGAGGGGGGCTGGCAGATTGTGCTTTTATCTGCCAACCAACTAAAACATTTATCTTTCAGTAACGCAGATCAACCAAAACAATACAAATTATTGCCTGAAATAATTAGACAAGAAAAAGGGTCGCAGAATAATTTACAATTCTAATAAAAACATCATCCATGGGGAGGAATTATCATCATCATCATCCTCATGCACTGACTTTCTTACATCTTCTGTTAATAGAAAATATTCAGGAGGCAGCAAAAAAGAAATCTGACGTATTATTTACCTAAACTGCCCTTTTAGTTTTTACCTTTCTAAAAAAAAAACCAATGCAGTTACTATGAGTTATGTCAGCTAATAGAAGTGATGTGAATCAGGATCAGCGTCCTCAGCTGCTGAATGAAAAACGAGCGCGAAGGAAACCGAGAGTTAGGACTAGAATCAAATCTCGCCCCGTCCAAAAGTTTCAAGAGTTTCGGGTGCGACATTCAAACTCTGAAACACTGAGGTTTTATTGTGACAGTACTCCACAGTGAGGCGTGAGAACCAGAGCGAACAAGGGAAGGAGGAAGGAGAAAGGTTTTTTTTTTTTKATCCGAGGAGCCAGAAACAGAAAGGATAAATGAGGGAGGTGGACTAAGTAAGGCAGGCTCGTGGTCCCAGTAGAGTCAGAGTCATAGTGCTCAGTTTGCACGTTACTGATGCACTTCATCGTGTTAACCCCTCAGTGTTCGCAATAAAAACAGGAAATATCAGAACTCAGTTCCTCATTCTTCCATWAAGCTTTTAAAAGCTTATAATAAATTAAATTATGCATCTTAATACTGACTTGTTGGAGAGTTTTTTTGGCGTCTTTAAAAACTATTCTTGGAGGWAGAAAACCACCTGATTTGGCTCCAAGATTTAAAAGTAAAACGCACGTTTGCGCTTCCTGTTCGAGGCTCGAATAAAACAGCTTTAACTAGCAGGCTCCAGATTAGCACTCTTACTAGATGAATAAGCTCATTTATTAAGAAGGACCTAATCCCGTTAGCATGTGATTCTGGCAAGAGTACAGAAATTGAAAATACTAGMGCTGGTATAACATACAGATGATAACTGCCGGCTGTAGCACTCCTGTTTCTATTATGATCTTTTGTAATGATCGGCACATAAAAATAGACAAACAAAGACAGAAAGCACCCCGGGCAACCTCTTTATGAGAAGGTTGCATCACGGGTGAAAGATTATCTAAGTTCGCTTTAAAGATTGTTGTTCGTTCAGTGGGAGGCAGCAAACAACTGTAGGAATTTGCCTCCCGCTCCAGCTGAGCTGATTACATCGCCTTCCTCTCATTTGGCTTAAGTTTAGTGTAAAAAAACCAAACAAAAAAAGGTAGAAGTTTGAGTGATGTGTCTTAGCCTAATATCAACCCCCCCAACACCCCGTTACAATTAACAAGCAGGTTTAACAACAACAGCTGTTCCCAGGTCAGCGTGTAGCCATGTCCAGTCATACAGAGGAGGGAAAGCTTGGATGTGAAGTGGAAACGTCTCAACCAGTGGCCTGTCGGCACTTTGAAAGGAGGAATGAGGATATTTTGCACACAATCGCACAGAAGTGACGTTTTCTCCATCTTGGCTCGCAGAGTAGCCAGGTGGGAGTCTGATCCTGATGAGACAGGGCGTATGTGTTTTTTATTATTGTTTTGGAAAGATCGTTCCATCATGTCCACTCTGAGGGACGATCTCGAGGGCCTCGGGGTTGAATGCAGCGGTTACCGAACCCTGAAACAAAAAACAAAAACAATAAGTAAACAGAATAAACATTTTTTTCAGACGTTTCCCCCTCCACTCTGCCTGGTCTCAAAACCAAATATGTTCTGCAGCTACAACCCAAAGCTAGCTTTCCAATCAGCAAACACATTGCCAGCATAAAAAAAACTGAGCTGAAAGGAAAACACGGCTGTCAGCAATGTTTTCTGTTGTGCAAGCATCACTTTTTCTCCTGTAAGTTTAACTTGTAGAAACTAACCCAGTTAGCAAGTTGCTAAAGTCAATTAGTTATGGTGGGCGTCTTGAATTGGGTTGATTACTTTCAGAGTTTAATAATAACTAGAGAAATTGCATTTCCTGCAGAAATGCAAGTGTGAATGTCTGTTGTTGAAAACTTTAGCTGAAAGCTGCTGAAGATGAGCTAAAAGCTGCTGATATTGAGCTGAACATTTTTAATAACAAAAGTATTATTGAAAGTAAACTTAAAAAGCTGAAAAAGGCAAACAAAAAGCCTAAAAACAGTAAAAAAAAAAAAAGAGCCAAAAATATAGCTGAATTAGCATAAAAAGCTAAAGGCTAAAATAGCTGAATACAGCAGAAAGCAACCGGTAGAAGAATAAATAGGTCAAAATAGGAAAAAGAAGAATAAAAAAGAAAAAAGGCAGAAGAATAGTAGAAGGAAGAAGAATTTTAGCTGAAATAGCTGAAAAAAGCTAAAACTAGCAATAAAATAGCTAAAATTTTCACAAAGACTTTAAAAGGAGCAAAACCAAAATATAATGTAAATGGTTCTGGAAAGATTTAGAAACATTATGAAGAAATTTATGGACGACGAATAAAGCTCCATTCATTTCCAATGGGAAAAAAGYARCCGAAATAGCTTTGGCTACAATTGTTGAATTTTCTTGAGGCTTAGATATGTTATAGAGCWTGCTCTCAGCTACCAGTACATAAGTATTCATGTCAAAATCTCAAACATTGGCTGAGTAAAARKACTTTAAAACTAGCTTTGGCRGCCATCTTGGATTTTTATTTTGGCTGCTATTTATGATAAAGCTAGGTCTCAGGTATCTATATATTGATTTAWAGCTCATTATATCAAAAATTGRCCAAATTCAAGTAATTAACTTTAGCTAATAACAGCTAAACTTTAGCTAAAATCGCAGCAAATAGCTAAATATTGCATAAAGCAACTGTAGGAAGCATAAATATCACAAAAACATGATCCTCGCTCATATTTGGGTGACAAACAGTTGTAACGGAGGGCTGTGGCAGACTTACCCACCCAGATCTGGTTGGCTATCTGCTCTTGTACTGCCAGCAGACCCAGGATCATCTGGAGACGTCTTATCACAGTCCAACACATCTAAACAGATTAGTGAATCAAATGGTTAATATTGCAAAAATCAGGTTTTAGCATTTAAATGCTACATGAAAGTTTTATTTTTTTATAGGTTTTAAAATCTGGCTTTCAGCAGGCCTGTCAATAAAATCATTGTCTCCTAATTAAAAAAACAGAGTTACTCCCTTTTGATGAAGCTTCCAGACCCACACTAAAACTACTCGAGCAATAAATTGGCACTAAAAATCATAACGCAATCCTCGCAGTGCTCGTTTCTTTACTGCACCTCTCTGCAGACACGTCGGCTCGTATTCTCTTTTCTCCTTCCTTTATCCAGTCCGACAGCTGCTGCGGACGCTCTTACAGGGAGCGGGCTAATTCCTGAAAGCACTGAAAGGCTCCTGTTTCCTGCTCTGCAGACTAACACTTCTACACACAAATAAACACAGAGAGCCGAAACTAACCAAGGAAGGAGAGGGTTAAGACAGACTAAACTGTGCTGGTACCTTTTTGGGAATTCATCCATCCAGCTGAGGCTGACATTTTCACTTCCAGAGGGTCTGAGAGAGAGAGAGAGAGACATTTAAAGAGCWTTTAAAAATAAAGACATGTAAACATTAACCCTCCTGTCTTCCTCGGGTATTTTTGATTTAGTGATCATTACTGTTAYAGACGTTACAAAATATTTTGAGGAAATTAAACCTTACTCAAAACTACCAAGTATTTTAAGAWTTTTTACCCTTTTAATGTCAGTTTCTTTGCAACATCTCATTATTTATTACAAATAAAATATATTTTTTCATCCAATGTGGTGATAATTACACCATTAAAATACAGTACTGATGCAAATTGTWGCTAATCTTTGACATGTTTGACKCTAATCATCACTAAAACTCCMTCTAATGTTTATTATATGGAAAAAAATCTATTTTTAATTCAATACTAACTCAAAGCTGACATTTAAAGGGTTAAAAAATTTAAAAATGATTGAGTGTTTGTTAGTTTTGATCAAGTTGAGATTTATGGAAAAAGCAGAAACATGTTTTAAGATGATTTTATACAAGTGTTCATGGTTAGTAACTGTGAGGAGGCACAGAGGAGCAGATGCATTCAGTCTCTCACTCATACTTTGTTTCAAACTCACAGCATAGTTAAACTTTTTAATCAACCAGCAAAAGAAAACAAAAACTGTCCACAAAAAGCTCCCAGATCTTCATCAACAGGCTGTTACTCATTGGCTGCAGTGGTCAATGCTGACCTCTAGTGTTGAAAAAGGTGAATAACACTTACCAAACAAGCAGTTTTTTTAATATCTCCTCTCTCGAGCTTTATTTTACAATCATTTCTTTAACTATCAACATTAATCCAGCTGTATCAATGAACCACTGCTGATTAATTCACACTAAATACTGCTCTTAAATCACTGAACACAAACCAGCATCCAACCATTCCGAGCCCGTTCAGACCTGCTGCTTCGTTACGGCTTTAGCTCCTGGGTTGTTAGGACCGACAGCAGGCGACCCAGTGAAYGCACACCACTGGACACGCACCTGAGGACGTTGACCAACGCAAAAACGCACCTGTGGCCAGTATGAAGGACTCAGGGGTTCTCTCGGGGAGGGGGGGAGGGGAGTCGTCGCTGTCCCAGCAGTCTGGGTCAAGAGGTCAGAGGTCAAATACAGAGCAAGGTTAAAAGCTGGCCAGAGAGAGAGGTGACAAATAAGCTCTTATTTCAATTTATTGTGTTACAAGTTTATCATCTTGTGCAAAGTTCTGTTTTTATTTAAGAAGGATTTTGATTTAGTAGAACTGGAGTGAAAGGCTAGTTTGTAGAAGAAATATGATATACAATACGTGTGACATGAATCTTTTGGGATGGACCCGTTTTACGTTAGAATTTAATTTTGGGTGGAAAAACAGGACAAATGTAATAAAGTTTTCTTCTTTCTGCTTCTTTTCATTTAATTTATGATGTGTTTTGTTTTTTATTGTATACAAATTGAATGATTTGTTTTTAATGAACAAATGAATAAATAATATGATCCAGTTAAAATGGGTCCATACATTTATACACTAATTTATATGTAATTACAATGTTATAACTATTTTCTTAGCGTAGATAGGCCTTTACAGTTATTATAATGTCATATATTCAACATTAAAATTTATTTCTGGTTTATAATTACATAAACACTGATCAAATGAATCAGACTGTTTTGTCCAGTAAAGCGTTTTATTTTTCCAAAATTACATTTTAGTGTCAATAAACAGATGACTGACTGCATTTTTATTTTCTCACTAAAACTGAAGCAAAAACATAATTTAAAATCTCCTGCAGGTTAAGTATTAACTTTAATATGCTTATTTATCCAATTAATAACTCCAGAAAGAGCATTTTTCCACTCAGATCAGTCTAATATGATTATTAAAAGGATCTTACTTTAAGTTTTTATGTATTTATATATAATRTAAAGTTTGTTGAGGTGTTTCAGCATTCTGCTAATTGCACTCTTGGATAGGGGTTCAGTGTTTCTTTGATAACACAGCCAGAAGAACAAGCAGCCACCACCAAGCAGCTTTCTGTTGTCCGACCACAGAGCAGCAGCTCACAGTGCCGCCCGTCAACAAGCAGCTGTTAGATTCATTTCAACCAACCAACCAGCAGCCCATAAATCAATAAATAAATAAATAAATAAATAAATAAATAAATAAATAAATAAAGCTGCCACGGCCAAAACACACGAGCGCCAAAAAGCAAAGCAGGGAGCGGTATTCCAGAAAGGAGGTTTAACAAATATCCAGAAACTTTTGAGGTAACTTAGTCCSAGTGTGGAAACTCCAGGTTTAGTTTTTAGAGTTAAACAACTAATAAATCCAAGTCGAAATCAAAACAACAAGGTGGAATTTAAAAAAATGAAAAGGCGAGTCTATAAAATGAGGATTCTCAAAACATTGTTTAGAAAATTTAAATTGAAACAGGTTTGATTTTACTAAAATTAGTTATATAAACAGTATCTACGCTTTTATTTTCTAAACACTAAAATCTAACAAACACCAATTTACCTCTCTCAAGATCATTAAGACTTTATTAGAAAATGGATTTTATATTTTGAAGAGTAAGTGAGTGGATTTGCACAACAAAAAAATCATTTAAATATATACTGCTGCATTTGTAAGCTTGTGAGGAATAAAGAAATAAAAAGTGAATTTTATGTCTTTTTTGTGGTGATTCTGACGATGTTTTATTCAACAAATTAATTTCTGAATATTACGTGGACTGATTTGTTGAGAGGTGTTATATTGGATATGTGAACGTTACGAGTCAACGAGTGAATMTGATGAAAAGTGATGTAATTTTAAAATGATGGTGAAGCTCAAAAAAATCCTCCCATTAAGTAGAATTCTGCTTCTATATCGGTCAGATTAGTTAAAATTATCAACTCGTAAAACCGCTTTATTCAAGTGGGAGTTCACCTCACTTTCTGTAATACCTGTGTCAGAAGAAAACGYCAAACCCAAACTCACGATTCAGTAAACAAAATGTGATTTTGTTAYCAAACATGTCTCGTTTTACAGCTGTTAATGGTCTTAAAAATAATGCATCATTCAGAAAATCTAAACAAATGATTTTTTAACAAAAAAATGATACTTTTGTTGTTTATAAGCTTAATAAATGTGTAAAGTTTAGAAAACAGAAACTGCTTGATTAATTATTTCAAATCACATCATCTCAGAGATACATACAGTGAATAAAAATTAGGTTAACTTGGAAGCAGCCCAGCGACTGTGACCCAAGTAAGAACTACGTCAGAAACTGGTGATTATTAAATAAAATTATTCTTGTTTTATTCAAGAAACAGGAGAAATCTTAGCTTTCAACCCCCAGAAAACAAATCAAACGCTTCGTGTTGCATGTAAGACAAGAAGGCACAAAGAGCAAACCGTTCTGTTAAAAAACCAATAAAGATGCCAACTGTGCATTTACGAGTTCTCATGCAGTGTTGATCGGTCCCCATCCAACATGCRCACAAACACTAACGCAGCATTCCTTTCATTCACAAAGTTATTCACTCAGACAAGCTGAAAGAAGGTTTGCAGCAACCCTTGCAAACCAAAACCAAAAAAATAACAATGAAACACCGTTTGTCTTGAATCTTTCTTTTCTAACTCAATATTGATATATAGAACTTGTGTTTAGCACCTGGTTTGCCTGAGYTGACCCAGAAAATGACCCTAACAGGTGGTTTCAGTGAGAAACTAAAAACAYAAATTAAACTTCAGTATCAAGAAAAAAAAACAGTAATTTAAGAGACTTAAAGCAGCTTACTTGCTGTGTGWGTAGAGGGCAGGGGAGTGGTTTGTCCTGCGATGGACATGGACACCACCTTCCTGACCAGCTGCTGGTTCTCAGGATGAGAGGAGGCGGTGACCGTGGTGGTGGTCATCGTGGATATGTTTGTAAGATAACTCTCCTTTCCTTCGGGCATCTCTCCGTTCCCCTCCTCGTCCGAGTTATCCGAGTGTAAGGGATTGGTGAAACTGAGAGCAGTCCTTACGGGGGTGGAGGAAGAGGAGGAGGAGGASGACGACAAGAGGTGCGAGGAGGACGAGGAGGACGGGGCGACTCTGTCTGAGGAGGAGGAAGAGGAGGAAGTCTTGGGGAAGAGTTTGTCAGGGCTGTTGCACGGCTCCATCCACACGGCGTGGGCGGGTTTCACGTCCGCTGTTTCCTCTTCCCGCGCCTTCTTCACTTCCTTCTTCACGGGAAGGTGGTTCGGTCGGGTCAGGATGCCCCCGTCGGCGCGACTCTCCCCGCACCCGCCCGCGCTCCCCTCCGTGCCAGAGTCCTCCGACAGCGAGGAGCTCGACGTCAGCGCCGTCTGACCGGAGCGGGACTTGAAGGCGTGGACTCTCTGAAGCGCCGAGCTGCTGTTGCTGGAGCCGGTGCTCAGTCCGCCCGCCGCCCCCGCCGAGGAGGAGCTRTCGAAGCTGCGTGGGCCTTCCTGCAGTGGCACCTTCTTGATCTCGATGCTCAGCTTCCTCTCGATCCGGGGAGCACCGGAACAGTCGACGGCCGGGGAGAGGGGCGAGGACGGCGTCTGGGTCTGGCTTTGGCCTGATTCCGACTGAGTGGATGTCAGGGTGGGCTTGTTGCTGTAGTTCTCGTTCAGATCCAGATTCGACACCTGAGTCTGCTGGTTCTTGCTCAGTAGGTCTAGATTTTTCWGCTCAGGGGGGGTCGTTTTTTGGGTCATAGCGGGTTCCGACTGGTTCTGCTCCTGGTCCACATCAGGATTCTGAAAGTTTATCAGAAAATACGACATTTGGTTCTTTTAAAAAAACATTATTTTACCTCATAACAAAATCTGTAAAAAGAAGGAATTGTAGAATAAATTCTTATAAATTATTCTTCATTTTTTCTATTTTATACTAAATACTCTATTTGCAGCTTCCCATCACTATAGTATGGATAAATGTCTCTTTGACAGCTTCAAATAAGAGTATGTATATCTAATATTTAAGATAATTAAATGTTTTATGACCTTTTATTCTTTAAATAAAACTGAACTTACCGTATTTATTCATGTATAATACGATCTCGAGTATATGATCATGTTTTTAGATTAAGGACCAGAAAAAAATCAAATCATCAATAACCCATGTATAATACTACCACCCACTTTATGGATAATGTTTAGGGTTAAAGTTTTAGTATTTTACATGGATAAATACTGTAGTTAAAGGGATCCATGATTAGTTGTAACATTAGACTTTATTTGATAAACATATACTTGACTGTAAAATAAAGACTGTAAAAATACTGTAGGATGTTTAGTTTTTTAAATTTTTAAACTTACAAGTTTAAAAATATATTACACGGACATTTTATTTACACGCAAAGCATTCTGGGTAAATGATGACGTGGACAGGTCCTCGGTGTGAGCGAGCTATATCCACCCTGAAGGTTAATCTTGGGCTACGTTCACACTGCAGGCAAATCCGAC